GAGTCTTGGAGGTTTCTGCAGTGCACTGGAACTGGTCGGTCAGCAGTGTGTTTGGAGGGCAGAGTCCTGGGGCGTGAACTGCAACTTCATGCTTGTGGATTTATTGTAGTTGTAAAACCAACTCAGTTTGAAAAGCATATCTTTTTCTTTACTGTTTATAATTTCTGCAGCTGCCATGTGAAGACCAGATCATCCTTCTGAAAGGCTGCTGTATGGAGATAATGTCCCTCCGAGCAGCAGTTCGCTATGACCCAGAGAGTGAGACTTTAACGCTAAATGGGGAGATGGCGGTGACAAGGGGCCAGCTGAAAAATGGGGGTCTTGGCGTAGTGTCTGATGCCATTTTTGACCTGGGCATGTCTCTTTCTTCATTTAACCTGGATGACACCGAGGTTGCCCTTCTTCAGGCTGTTCTGCTCATGTCATCAGGTGAGAACAGAAATATATTGGGACACCAACCATTTTGAAACTCTTTCGTCTTTTGTCACAAGCCTCTTTTTTAAAGAAATAGGGTATGTTAGATCTTGTAGTGCTGACCAGAGTAATGTGGGAGAAATTCTCTCTCAAAATCCCAATGCAGCTTGGTACTTAGGTAGGCACTCAGTAGTTTGGTAAGAACTAGGAAAAAAATTCAGGGTATTCAGAAAGATGGGCATAACAGTGGCTTCGGTAAAACACTTACTGAGTTTAGTACTCAGGGAGGAGTCAGGGATGATCATTAGAAAGAAATCAGATCTAGTTCTGAACCAATTTGCCTTGAATGAAAAAATGGTAATTTAGCAACAGTTGTCCTTACAGTAAGTTCCCGTTTCCCCTAGGTACTGTCATGCACTAGGCGGGAGGTACAGTTCATGCACATTTCCATCAGTCTCACATGCCTGGTTTGACCTGCCTTCTTGTTTCCCTACTTAACAGCACCACCGCTCGCTAACGGGCATTTGAGAGCTGTGCTGTTTCCCCACACTGGGACCATTTGCAACTGGTCTCTTGGTGGCGTGATACAGAAGCAGCACAGACCATTTCATATGATTTCCAAAGAGTTTCTTGCCTTCTCAGATCGAGAATATGCTTCAAATGTGAGAGAATACGCTTTCAAATATGCTTCCACTGACTGTGCCAGCCCAAAGAGGAAATTCCATTCTTGGGCAGTGGCAGATTTGGTGAGGTTTTGTTTTAAGACCACTTTGAAGATTGGGCACTGAATAACAATACACAGACAGTGATTTACAAGCATTAACTGCGTCTGAGACAGAAAGGTTTCCACATTAATCACAACACAGCACTTGACCTTCCCAATCAAAACATTTTGATTTCTTTTTAGTTCCCTACACAGTGATACACGAGTAGGGGTTTCAGAAGGCAGTTCAGAGGACCTGCTTTCCCAGAAGTGTCTCCTGAAGAGTGACTTGTCAAAGGAGCTTTCCCAGCGCCCATCTGGGTGCCAGTTGAGACAATCAGCCAAAATTTTGGCCTTTGTTGTTCCTAGTTCCTCCGTAACAGTTTCCTTTGCAGCTTACTTGTGGATCAAAGCTTGATCAAAGCATCGGTCAGACTGCAGAGAAACAGATAGGAAAGAACTGTAATTTAAATATCCTGACAAGGAAGTGGTTTTGGTTCTTTATTAGTTGTTTTACAGAAAGGAATAGATAGAAGCCTTCGCTGAGATCAGGGATCTGTTGCTCCCGTCGCTAAGGAGACACTTCTCGAACAGCTATACTCTATATGGGCAAAGCAGGCAAAAGATGAAGAAACGCATTATTATCTCCTTGTTTTAACAGGGATAGTGCTGATAAGTGAGGTATCCAGGGTCAAAGAAGTTGTTTGTGGCAGAGCCAGATGTCCTTGGTCTCCATCCTTTCTTTCCTAACAATGGAATTGTGCTATTTTTCCTGATTTATGATCAGGAATTCATTTAAGTAAATAAGTACTAACGATAATTATGCTTCTTTGTATCTACAGATCGCCCAGGCCTTGTTTGCGTCGAGAGGATAGAAAAGTGTCAAGAGGGTTTCCTCCTGGCATTCGAACACTACATTAATTACAGAAAACACCACGTTTCACACTTTTGGCCAAAACTGCTGATGAAAGTGACAGACCTGCGAATGATCGGAGCCTGCCATGCCAGCCGCTTCCTGCACATGAAGGTGGAGTGCCCCACAGAACTCTTCCCTCCGTTGTTTCTGGAGGTGTTTGAGGATTAGAGAGACTGGAGCGGTTCTCCGCACCCCCGTCGCACTACTGGCTGTCATTTCATCCCGTTGCCCGGCTCTTCTCGCCTCCGTTTGTTCTTTTTCTTCTTTCATTCTCTTGTTTCTTGAGGCGGGGTTGGGGTTTTGTTTGGGTTTTTGTTTGGGATTGCTGGGGGGCAGTTGTATACACATGGATGAAAACATCCCTTTAATGCGGGTACTTGTGACTATTGCGATTTGTTCTTCAGTCCTTTGATGTGAATGCTTTGACAGCTTAACAGTGAAAATACAAACAGACCAGTCTCATTCACCAGCACTTGCGTGGTCACCAGCTCACACACATCACTGCTTGGAAAATACGGGAGAGAAATTGAAGTGGCAGAAAATAAATTGGCCTCCAAGTTAAAACAGCTATGTTAATTTGACCCTGGCAATTCTGTCTAGTATTACCTCATTTTGCAGGGCACAAGTGAGCAATTCATGAGATGAAATTTCTAGTCTTCATGGTTGTTTCTATTGTAACTATCACCATTATGAGCTAGGATCTTCATCATCATCAAGATCCCATCATTACCTGAGGATTGTTCCAGCAGATAGAGTTTAACTGTGCCCCATAAATCAAGTACTTAAAATAATGCAGAGTGTTAGAAGGGACCGACTCATTTTTTTTCCATGTGTATAAGAAAGTAAAATCCTTCAGTTCTTACTACATTTGAACTCCAGGCAACTTCACTGGAAGGTCTGTTGGAGTAAGGAAGGGAATTTGATCCTCTGAGGTGCTTTTCCTGAGAGTGGAGAGGTCTGCTTTTCCTGAGGTGCGCGGAAAAATTTGTCACTCTGAAGGAGAAGGCTCTCTGTCAGGAGAGCAGGCTTTCCTCAGGGTTATTCAGGGACGTGAATGATCACAGAATGAGGACAAGGAGAACGAAACGTACGGGGTGACCTTCAGATGGGACAGAAACCAACTGTGTTAGTAACAACACTCAAGACTGTACAGCTTTATCCCAGTAATACAAATAGTGTTGCTTGGCAGTAATCTTTTGTTTTATATATATATATAAAGTTTATATGCACGTATATATATAATTTTATATATATATAATTACAAAACTTCAGCAGATGTCTTAAACATATTTCCATGTTTTTATCTTCTCTCTCTCTCCTTCTCTAACCCTCTCCTGTGCGTGTGTGCGTTTATATGTGTTGATCAGCTCGATTCTCTCTCGTTGGTGTCTGTCTGTGTTTTGTTTGGCTAGATTCTCTCTTGATTCTTTTAATTTATTTCCACTAACTGCACTAGCAGGAACTGAACTGAGCAATGACAGGATGTCCTGCTGCCGAAATCTGCAAGCCAGTACTCACAATCCTGGAATGTTTGGAGGCCGGTGATGAGGGCATTATAGGAAGAGGTTCCTCTCTGTCATCCATCTCCATTCAGGGGTGTTGTCCCTGGGTTTTATAAACTTGATATTAAACCATTCTCTGAATTTATATGATACATCAAAAGCATCCTTCTGTTCTTCCTGGGAACCAGAGGCTTAGTTCATGTATTTCGCACTTCCTCACACCCCACGTTCTTTCATGTTGTGCATTCATTTGTACCAGTTTCTTTCTCTGCTATTTATTGATATATTTGCCTGGCAAGTCAGTGGGCATTGTTAGGGTGGATATATTGACTTTGAAAGCTCATGGCCCATGTCTAAACGCATATGTTATGTGTTTATCCCCTCATGAAAGCTTGATACTCAGGAAAACTTATCTTGTAGGTGGAACACAGTA